GCTACAGTCTAGATGTGTGCACTAAAATCATTGATGCCTTCCTGTGTTTGGTGGAGATTGTACTGACTCAGAGGTATCCAGTTGATCTTACCTGGAGATAGGGATTGTTTGGCTTTGTAGTTTGTGCCTTCAGAGTGGAGGTGGAGTGTGCTTGTGGTTGCCTTAGTGTCAGGGAAATGCCACATTTGGGGTCCTGTCACTGGAGCCTCTTGTACCTGCAGACAAGCAATTATGCAAGGGACTGAGAGGGAGTCTTGTGAGTTTGGTGGTTTTCTTGGTCTTCGTGTGTGGACTGTGGATCTGGTAGTAGGGTATMAAGAAAATGGTCAATTCAGTGTCATCAGTATAAAGGGGGAAAAAATCTGGCTTTCAGTGTAGTTTTATTCTTAATAATTGAATCTGCAAAGAAACCCGCTTGTGTGTTYCATAAACTCTTCAAGGCCTGGCCAGTTAAGCAAAATTAAGGTGATAGGGAATTGAACAGGTTTTGATTCTGCTACATATTCCTGGTGTAGACATGGCTGGTACAAAGTAACTGTACTGTATCTCATCATAGTTACAAACGGGCTGTGTGATTTTTTTTTTTTTTTTTCCCTTTGAATTAATTCATCAGCAAAGCTCCTATTAGCTGAACTATAAACATGTAAACTATGCAGACCAATAATCAATGTTCAGAATTTTGTTGCAACAGGCCTATGTTGGTGAAGTATAAAATCTGTCCTTTGCTACTTTGTACGGCTGTCTTGCAAAATGGCTGTGGGTGACAAAAAGCTGCTTAACATCTTGTCTTATTGCATTGTGTTGTAAGTGAAGCAGAGATCTAACTTAATGGTTTTTATCAAGAAAAAATGCTAAATCAAACTATAAATACCCTGGATATTTTTGGAAAAATTTTGTTACAGGCTTGGAATTTAAGTTATGCTGATACTTATGATATTTGGAAATTRAACCTCATTACATCTGTTTTCACCACAGGAGGAGAGACCACATCCTGTTAAATGTCATATGACTAATTTAATTTTTACAAATAACTGCTTAATTGGAATTTCTAAATATTTTTTCCATCCATGTAATGCAATAGCCATTTCTTGGTTAAGACTGTGGGTTACATGCATTGTTTCTTGGTTATGCTTGTGTTAATTCAAGATTAGAGGATGGTTTAGATGGAGGGAATATTTATCTGCTATGTGGAAATTAATATGGCAGGACAAATCAAATCTCAGTGTTTTGATTCTGAGGGTGAGTGTTGGGTTTTTTTTGTTTTTTTTTTTTAATAGATTTTCTCAGGCAAGATTGACTCAGATTCTGGCYACTAAATAGAAATCCAGATTGTAAAATTTCTGTGGCATGTTTTCTGATGACTGCCAAAGTCAATCTTGAAAATATACCAGGATTTGGTTAAATATGTTTAGATTACAGAAATTGGTGGATTTTGCAAGTAACTCTTGGGGGAGGTAGTACTTCAGGGTTAAAGCCTGCAGGGGTAGCATTTTTTGGGAGCAAGGGATGGGTGTTTTGGTTTTTCTCATATTGAGAAGAGGAAAGAAATTCACTAAAAAGATCAGAGATTGTTAYCTAATCATCTGACTTGAGAAGCACKGTTTAATCACAAGGTTTGTAGTTGCACATGTGTTTGCCAGTACCTCTTGATCATGATGACTTTGATGTATAGTACCGCATAGTTACCTACCTTTCCATCCTTTTATGTTTTAAATTGAAAGTGGAAAAGATTATTAGTCACAAATAGCAGCGACAAACATGGGGGAAGTTTCCCATCAAGCTAAGCCAACCTAATAGCTCATTGCTGCTGAAAAGTGATCCTGCTCCCATGCTTTGCTAATGGTGTAACTTCCATCTCTTCTAGCATCAGCTTGGCTTTGCTAATCTCACCATCAGCTGTTAATAAAATCGGTGGAGGCACTTGAGATGCAGCCAGTCTYTTTCAAGTAGCTGTTGTTCTTTCTCCTAAAATTTAGTGTTTACACCAGTACTGGTGGGGATGGCACTGCAGCCTGGGAAGTTGGTCAGGCTGAAATGTTTTCCACTTTTTTTTTAGTGTAAGAAACTTCTAAGAGAAAAAGGGTGGTTAAAAATAGAAAAATGGTACTTTAGAGACTGCCACTTTAAAAAAAAAAACCCTACTTTTCTATTACAGAAGGCTTTAACGTTAGGTTGAATTCTGTCTTTTTGGTTTTTTTGGGGATTGTTTTGGTTTTTTTTTCTCKCTTGTCCAGCATTCTGGTATTATGGCAGCTGCTCTTAGGGATATTCTGTTTTTCATCTTAAACACTGTTGGGCTTTTCTTGCATGCTGTATAATGTATGCATGCTTTTCAACTTAGCTTTACCTTCTTCCTTCTTTGGGAATTCAAAATCAGGATGAAGGGAGCTGGTAATCTGYTAAGCATTCCAAAATCTCAGTGTGAGGTTAACGAATAGGGATGAGTGGGAATGAGGGGAAAGGCTATCGGGATGTGCAGGGTGAGGCTGCTCCTGTACAGCAGCAGCCAAAATGCTGCTTTGGAGGATAATTTCCTATTTTTTTTGGTAATTATTAATACGTCTCTTTTTTAGTTTGGGTTGTGTTGAGTTGGCTGTGAGTTAGAAGGAGCTATCTTCAATAGAAGTGTTGAGGTATTACTGCTGAGTGTAGTYAGGAATGCTCACTTTTACTGTTCTGGTTTATACTGGTGTTTGTACTGGTGTGCCAACTAAAATAAATGCGTTTGTGTGTTTACTGATATAAAATACTTTCTACACAGTAAGCTGGAAAAAGGATAAGTTGGTTCATTTGAGAGGCCCTGTAACATGCTCAGCAGTGTTTTTTTCTGACTTCCATCTGAATTCCCCACTGCAAATATTTGTGTGCCAGTGAGGGCACCARTGAGGGTTGGTTTCAGCAAGTGATGCTGATCCTGGGAGCAATCCCTGAAGTTGCCACTGTGACAGGATTGATGGCCAGCAAGGCAGCTGCTGCACTGAAGTACCCTGGTAACTCTGGGTGGCTATGGAAGAGCCTCAGGTGGAATAATGGCAGCTCAGTGGCACCATCAGTGGTAACACTTTGCTCCAGGAAGGCCTTGAAAGTTGACCTCCCCACCCAACAAGTGGTAATCTTTGCTCATCTTCTGCACTGTAAAATGTGGCAGTTTTTACATATTTACTAGAATTGCAGRCAGCCTGGGGTAGCCATCAGCTAAAGGGTGCAGATGGAAGTGTTGGTTCTTGTCTGTCAGTTGCAAGGGATTTCAGCACTCCAAGTCTTACACGATTTTTGGCATTTCAGGAGATAGTATGAGTTTGTTTAGGTGCAGTGTCCATAGTAACTGGTGATCTCAGGCAGCCACTCTACTGGGAGAAGGGAAACCAGGAGATGCTTTTCTTTTTGGTCAGTATTTTTTTCTCCCCCTCTCTGTACTCCCATATTAATTAGGTCCAGTGTGGGATCCACTTTGGGTGWCATGGCTATTCATTGGCATAATAAAGGCCAGAAATGTCTCTAACCAAATAGTCACTAAAAGAAAGTCCCTGTGAATGTAAGCAGTGAAAAAGCTAAACCAGAACTTCCTATATTTCCTAGAGCATGTGCCAGGACAGTAAAAGCAGGATCTTATGTGCTGTTAGAAAACTCATTCATCACAGACATCTTTAAAGATCTCCTTGAGATCTCCTCATTCCTTCTCCAGATGTTGCACAACTTGAGATGACAGTTTTACCATATTGGGCAAAGCAGTGGTTTGTTTTGTTTTGAGCAGCTGAGATGTGAGCAGTGGGTGGATTGGTCACTGTTTTGGCATCCCCAGTGGTGGAATGCATATGTGGACAATCAGATCACTCAGAGGAAGAGGAGAGTTTACTGACATCCTTATCCACATTCCAAGGTGTGCCTTTCATCTCTGTATCTTCACCACTGTGCCAGAAGAAAGAGTGAGGGTGATTAATATTCTACCACTTTTAGGGACAAAGCTTGAGGGACTTGTGCTGCCTGCATCCCCTGTGTGGTCTGTACATTCCTCTGAGTTTCGGTATGTGAGCTACCTGCATGGCTCCAGTGCTGCAGGTGGTGCAGCAATGGAAAGTTTCTGTGGTTTGGCATTTAGGCTTAAGTCCTGTTCTGTTTTTTTTTTTTTCCTATAGAGTATTCAAGAATATGTATTCATGGTGTGTGGCTTGTCCATACTAGTGAAATATAAATTACAAAAGACAAATGCATGTTGCTGCATTGCTCAGCAGCAGTATGTTGATTTATATTGCTTAAGGAAATAACCTAAATTTTGTTTTCTTCTTCTTGGGGTATGGGGGGAGAAATGTTTAACCAAACTTGGAAAATTCCCCTGGATGACAGCAATAAAACTAATCAGAGGATAGTATTCRTGTCAAAGTGGTTTATGTGGTTGTCTCACCACTTTGTTTAAAAGAGATTGTTTGACTTGTAAGAAGATCCTTGCAAACAATTTTATTGGGTGTTCCCTTATTAAATATAAGGGACTTGTTAGTTCGTTTCTCAGGAGCATTGATGGTTTATCTTGTTCATTCTTAAGTGCCATTTTCAGTGCATCTGGTTCCTTCATGTCCCATTTTATGAACTGTATGTTGATCGAGTCTGTCTGTGTACATGTGCTGTGTAGCTAACAGGCCTTGAAAGTGGTTATTCTGATAATTTCAGGTGTTGAAAACTGGATATATTAGAGTGCCTAGTCTTATTTAAAGTTCACACAGGTTATACAAGCATTTTTAAAAAATCAGCTTTTATTTGTTCTAAAAATATAAATAAGTCATAAATACAATCTCTCAAATATATAAAAACATAAGTTATACAACAATTTTTTCTGGGTTCTGAAAACTTTTTTTTAATACATATTAAATAAGTTTATATTCTGAATAGTACCATTAGAAAGGAGATAAAATACGTCCTTTGTTTAAATTATTTCTAAATATTGAAAATATAAATAAGAAATATTAAAAACTAATAAATATTTTAAATACAATAAATAAGCTTCTTGAAGGAAATGGGAATGTGTATAAATGCAAACCACTGTTATTATTTCTAGTTCTTAAAACAGAACAACACTGTCTGCCACATGACAGAWTTGTAACAAAAGGATTGTGCCTGAACTAAAACATTCAGACACTGAAACTCCTGGTGTTTTTCATATAGCGCACGGCCCTCACTGTCTTCTCCATAAATGAAGTAAAATCTCGGAGGATGAGATGGATGGTGATTTTCTCTATCCAGGCCTTAGTAGACTTCAGCTTYGTGTGGAGGGATTTCTGGGTATCTGCATCTGGGATGATGACTTCTTCGGGATTCATCACCTGTGAAAAAGACAATATTGAGGGGGGGACTTGGTTAGAGCATTGTAACTGARCTTGTTCTAGAACATCCATTTGTGTGTTCCCAACCAGCTGCATGTCCACGCTTTCCATACACAGACAACAGCCCTCCCTGAGACCTGCGCATCCCTCCAGCCCTGCTGCTGTGGAGAGGTGTGAGGAATGCTGATGCCTGCTACAGTTCCAGTGTAGGAATCTGGGCTATACTGTTTGTTCTGGTTTGAATGCAGTGTCTCGCATCAGGGTCCAACAGGCTCTGAGCAGTTCAATGCACCACTGCTGGCAGTCACGTGGTTGGTTAGRTGGCGAGGTGCTGATCATGATTTGTCCTGACCTGTACTGCTCCATCTTGAGTCATAAGTTAATTGGCTGGCATTGGACTACTCTCACACTTTGTAGTAAAATAACGGTTTCCAAAGATGTCAAGCTTGTTTAGCTGCTTAATTCTTACTTTCCAGGCATTTAGTCACATGTGAGACTTAAGTGCCATCAACTTTCACTGATATGTGGGAGCATAACTACAAGATGAGTAAAAGGAGTTATCTAATGCTGACTCACAGCACTGTGCACCCAGTATCTAAAGGCCTTTGAAAAACTTGTCCCAAGAAGAGGGACTTCTGAAAATGGGAGTTACAAACCCAAATCACAGAGCTGTTGTAGGTGRTTTGGAGTCCAAAGTTCTAGCAAGTATCTGCTTAATCTGTTTAGGATCTCTCCTACCCTTTAACAAGTGACAAAGACATGCAAACCTCCTGGAACATCTCTTTTTGAAACATAAGCGATAAATATTGTTTCCATCCAGACTACTTTGGAGTGGTTCTGATCACTCCCACTGGTGTGAGCTGGTATGCTCAGCTCTTTGTTGCGCTGTGTAAAGGTTTGTATCTGGATATCCAGACAGGTATCTTGCTGGTGGATCCATCTAACCACAAGTGATGGATTCTGGTTTTGCTCTCCTTGCCTTAAATAACAGATTTTCCTCTCACAAAGAAAGATTTTCAACCTGAAGATCAAGATGTTTTCTCAAAAACTGTAGTTTCTGCTAGTAAAGTTTTGCTTTTGATCACTGTGTTTAATTCTGCCCATTATGATTAGCTTGATCAAAAAAAACCCCAAACCCCTACAAAAAAAACCACCCCAAAACCACCTCAAACCAGAAAACCTAGTCTCACTCAGTTATGAAACACTTTCTCTAAACTTATATGTCAAGCTGGAAGCCAGTAATCAGTTGCTGTCTTATGACAGGGCTRTTATTCTCAGCTAGCACAGTGTGAAAAAAAAGCAGTTCAGCTTCCTTTCACATAAAGAATGATGGGCATAAGTAAATATGTTGGGAAAGGTACAGCAAACACACAATAGGTTTTTCACATGCCAAAAATACCTTGTATAATATGCCCCAAGACTTTTGCAGTCCTTACRTGGGTGATTTTTACTCAGGCCAATGGTTAAAAGAAAGTAAGTGTTCATATCAAGGATTATTAATATGAGCAAGAACTACAGGAATTAAGTGATTTTTTGAAGTATGAACTTTCAAAGCTCTCCAAAACATGAAAAATGTTTACCAAATCAAAAARTAAAGGGATATTTTTATGAAAGAAGGATTTTTACAAGCAAAATGTGTGCTTTTCAGTATGCAACTGTCTGTATATTGACAGCAATACTGRTATCTCAATATACCATACAGCTTGGCTTAAAAGTTTGGAAAGTTTTAAAGATCAGTAATATTGTAAAAATATATTTGCCCTTTTTTCTTTAAATGTGGGCATTTTTAAAAAGAATACTGACTTCTACTTATCAGTGGGTTCTAGCATTAACAGGTATGGGCTGAACTGCAGTTCTGCAATTAGGAACAAGCTCCCTGAGAAATCTTATTTCTATCAGCCAAGTAATATGTTTGTTCTTAAAACAATGATGCACTTGGTTTGAAAATTAGAAGTAACAATAGAAAGTAGGAAGAAGAGTTGTTTCTTTAAGGGAAGAAMCCAAAACTTTGTAAAACCTCTAAGTCATGAGGGTAAGATTTCAGCATAAGGGACTGACACCTGTTTTTTCAAGGAACTGAAACATAACATCCTCTATTTCACATAGCATCCTCTATTTCTGACTGCACATTAATATTAAGCCACAAAAATAATCAGAGTGAATTTAAAACCAACTCACCATTTGTCTTATGGTACGTGCCAGGTGCTCTGTGCTATAGGTTAGCGATCCAATGTTTTGGTTTTCACTAATAAAAGTTTCTTGYACGTATTTGAGGTATGTCTGAAATGTATAAAGCCCGCTGGAGATTTTTCTCAAGCATTTATCCTGAAATGAGAGAAAGGTGAGAAAGTCACTAAAAGTTCAAAATGCCTTCAGTGCTTTGTGCAGGTTAGCAGATGATGCTTATATAGTGCGGAGGTCTGGCCAAAGCCAGCTGGAGCCGACACAAATCTTTAGGTCAACTTCCACAGTTCTTTTAAGCAGGCAAAACCTGCCCCAGGTATACAGGGTTAGACCAGAAAGGAGAGCGGTTCCTTGCCTCATCGAAACCGGCGAGCAGACACCCATCTTCCTCCGTCACCTTGGGRAGGTTGAGGTTGTTGTGGAGGAGCATTTCCACGCTGTTCGCGCAGATGGTAAACTTGTCGCACATCTGGGGAGAGACAGAGAGATGTTTGGTCGCACYTTGGCGGGAGGCAGCCGCGGCCGGGCGGGGAACGTGAGCGTGTGCGAGCCGGCGGTGCGGCCGTACCCACCTCGTCCTGCAGCTCTGCCGCCCGGTCCCGCAGCAGCCGCGCCAGCCGCAGGCTGTCGGGCAGCGCCGTCCGCAGCGCCGCCGCCTCGTCCAGCTCTGCTTCCCCCGAGGAGTCGGCGTTGTGCAGCGGGGCGGCGGCGGCCCGGGGCACCAGCAGCAGCAGCAGCAGCGGCGGCGGCAGCAGCGCGGCGCGGAGGGCGGGCGGCCGGCGGCGGCGGCCGGCGTGGGTACGATCGCAGCCACAGTCCCGGGAAAACTTCATGGTGCTGCTTCTCGACTCCGGCTCYGGCCCTTGCCCCTTCTTGTCGCCGAGGCTGGCGGGTTGAATGAGCTCCGGGCATCCCTGAACGTGTATTTATCGAGGGGGCTTCGAGATTATTCATGGCCTGGGAAAACCCGGCATGAGAACACGGGGGGGTGTGCGCACGGAGCGCGCCCGGCTTGACAGAGCTGCTCGAGAGACGGGATTGTGAAACGGGCCGGGGGGGGCGGTCGAAAGCTGCCGGTGGGAACATGAAGTAATCGTGCTCCGTAACGCCTTGAGGGCCGGGCTGCCCCCCGCACCCGCCTCCKCCTCACCTGCTCCGCGGGGTCCCGGCCGGGGCTGGAGCCCCCCGCTCCAGGCTGCCTCCGAGCCTGCCAGCTCCAACCACACCAAAACCCCTGGAATCATACATACATACCTAGCTATAGATACCCATACTTTAGATATGCTATGTACTTCCGTGTATTTTAATATTTTAGTGTGGTTTAATGTTTTATGAATTTTATGTGATGTGAATTTATCTCGGTATTTTAGCTATTTTTATTATTTGTATATGTGAAACTAAACGCCCCTTTTTAGGTGCTGGGTAGTACAAGTCCTAAGTTGCCTTTTTCCCAGTGAACTAACTATGGGGAGGATTAAATACATCATGTTCCAGTGCTTTAAATGGACCAAAGCCAGCTCCTTCAGGAGGGTGGCTGCAGGAAATACCACGAAGTTCCCTGTTATCTGCTGTCTTATCTCTTTCTGCCTACCTGGTAGGTGTTGCAGGAATTTCAGAGGGACTGACTTCAGAATTGCAGTCCCTTTTAGAAGGGCTCTTCACCCCTCTGAAAGTGGGTGAAGCATGCCTGTTGGGATCAATCTTGTAGAAAGCAGACTGAGTCAAACTGCAAGGCATGCTGACATTGAACTTATGGAATGTCCAACTGATTTTGGCCAAATTGATTAGTGACTTTAAAATTTTTTTTTCATTTCTTTATTATGAAATCGGTTATKTTTTCTCACATAAGGAAGACCAGAGTCTGCTTTGGGAAGTGCTAACAGGAGGGTACAGAGTGGAAAGAGCAGAACATGGGGCATAACAGAGGTGTTAGAGAGAGAATACAGAAACTGATACAACTCAGATACTTGTAATTCACTTTCTAAGAACAGCCTGGAAAGAGAGACTTAGAAAAGAAGCAGGTATGACTRGTTTTTATTTAATGTCTCTTTCTGTCAGTAGCAGAAAAGCAGCTGCAGTAATTTTGCCCAGTGGAGAGATATTAGAGCTGGAATGCAAGTGTGAGAGAGCAGTTTTCAACAGCAGCAATCCATCTCTGCCCMGGTCCCCGAGTGCAGAAGAGAGGATATTGCCAGAACAATATCTGCTGTAATGTCAGCTCTCCCTTCCCATGATGGTGGCATTAGGCATAGAAGAAAGCATGCCACTAGCATTATGTTTGACTACTATCAGTTAAAAGATCCAACTGAAATGTGCTGAAGGATGAGAACAGCCAGACCAGATGAGTTCAATGGCTGGTATTTGCTTTTGCACAACCATCAGAGGCAGATCCATCAGGGAGGGAACTCCTGCCTACCTCTTTTTCCATTTGCGACAGCACATGGATGTACATGTCTCAGAGAGGGATTTCCTTCCTCTGCCAGCCGACTCATAGTCTGTTGCCTGCAGTCAAACTTTTCCTTTACCTAACCAAGTGAAAATGCTGTTCTTAAAATGATAAAAGCTTGGTAGAAGGTTATGTTTCCTTAATAATATCTTTTCAGCAAGAATTCTGTAATTTAGTTGTGTCTGTAGTTCTGCAATTCTTAATTTTATAAAGTTATTTTATGAGTCGTCATTTTCTCACTGTGTCCTGAAAATATGTGTTCCTTAGCAATTTTCTRAGAAACTTTTTGTGCTGATCACTGTTACAAAACCTTGCTGATAYTTGTAGTTACTTCTGCAGAGTGAAATAAAAGCAATTTTCAACTGCTCTTCATCTAAAAGTCTTTAAGCCTTCACTAACTATTTTCTCATTTTGAAGTTTTGTTTACTTTTTTTATATGAATGTCATCCATGTGACTTTTCAGAAGTACAGWGTATCCTTACATGCTCCAGTGAGAGGTGCTCATTAATGCCCTAGAAACTCTGTTTGATAATCTAGGACAAAGCGCAGCATTCAAGGGAAGAAGGAACTGGAATGTACACAATAGCATTAAAATGTTTCTTCTATTGCTCTGGACAGTTTCTTATGGAAAAYCACTTATTTAATTGGTACTGTGCACAGAAGAAATACTTTTGCACTGATCTGCCTGTAATAATGGTTAAATTTTGGGGAGGACTTACAGGAGGTCCACACTGTATTGCTAATTAATCTGCGCTGTGCTACATGAATTACACTGATTCATCAGTAGTCACAYTGCTCAAAATTTAGTAAGCTCCGAACAAATAGCAGTTGCTCATGAGTTACCTACAGGTCAGGAGATCTGCATGGTACTTAAAATGTAGGAGTAGTACTACTGAGCCTCTTAAGGCATAGTTTCTAGATGCCAGGGAATTTCTTTCCTKTGTAGCATCTTTGTAATACTGCAGATTACTGTTCTTGCATCCTTTCATTTCTATTGCACTTTGTTTCACTGTACAGGTTATTTCTTTTTCTTTTCAGTTATACTATCAACAAGATGGCTGTATCCTGGCATGTAAAAACTTCCTAAGGTGGGATTTCAGAAATTCTCAGTGTTTATCCAACTTTTTCTTCTGTCTGAAAAACTACTGTATGTTTTTGTAGGAGCAGAGGTACCAGTTCTGAAAGCTGTAAAAAATCTCTCCTCTCAGATTGTCACACATGAAAATTGTTCCTGGGTCCTGTCAAGGGTCAGTTTATAGCCCATCCAGGATCATCCTATATGTGTTTTCTAGGATCAATGTGCAACTCACTGACCCATCCTGGAAAAGGTTCTCTTTCTTCTAGAATTGCTCTGCCTGGGAGAAGCCCATTCCACTTTTGCTCATGATAACCTGGGAGCTTTGCAGAGAGGAGCCTGTTTCCAGGAGAGGTGGGTGACCCCAGCATTGAAATGCTTTTGCCCCTGAAGAATTCAACAAACTGTGGAGCTGTCGTGGTCAGAGCTTGTCTCCCCTCTTCTGTCAGCTGTCAGGCACCTGCCTGCACAGAGCCCCACTGTGTGCCAGGGCAAAACCCAGTGCCATTGGCAGCAGCAGCAGACCTTGCTTGCTAAATGCTGTGGGTCAATATAAATGGCATTCCTAGATGGAAAAATAGAGTCTTTCAATAAAGTAGAATCAAAAGGGTTGCGGTAAGTTCCACTCCAATTTGTGTGTTTGGTTTGACTGTTTTTTTCTTTCTAATAAACTCCACTATTTTACAGTTGTAAGAAAACCAGTAATGTTTATTTTATTTATGACTGAAAATAGTACTGTTGATAGTAAGAGAAGAAATAAACTGAAACACCACTGAAAATGTGGTGTTCTTCTATAGMAGAGTTTGACTGTATGTGCAAGAAAATGCCAATTGTCAGAAGGCCATTCAAGTTGGATCATGGCAATCAGTAAGCAAATAACTTCCAAATATTTTGATTGAGGAGGAAAGCTGATGTCTTGTTCCCCTGGCATATTTTTGCATTAATTCCTCAAAGCTTGTAATGAGGGAACTTGAATTCCTACAGATCTTGTAAAGAGTGTTGGAGTTCTTTGTAATGTTAAACCAAGCGTCCCTGTGCTGTATTTGAAGTGAACAGGTTGAACAGGTCAGTAATACCTTGTGTTCATGTTTCTCATAAGCAAACATTGCTTTGACAAGCTGCATGTCACCAAAGAGTGCTGGTGCACTTGACTAACGGCCCGTCACTTTTGCGGCTTTGAAGTTCTTTGCTTCTCTGTTGGTTGTTTGCCAGGTAACTGCGGAGTTGTTGGGGATTTTTTGGTGAAAAGCTTTGGAAATTGCTCATTTTTATTTCCTAAAGGAAGACTTGCATAATTTTTAAACAAGACTAAGATGTGTAGTAAGACTTGAATTTTTTTTCTTGAGTACATCATATGCAAATACTGTGAATTTTCTTGCCTTAAGCTAAATCAGAGCTTTAGAGGAAAAAAATTTACTTACCTTTAAATTATGTCCTGATTTTCAGCTTTATGTGCTTAATTTCAAGAAGATAAATAATGCCATGATCTTCCCTAGTCAACTTCCAGCAGACAACAACTTTCAGCGGTGCACTCTTAGGTGAAAGAGGTCCTAAAGATAACTTTTCTTGGGGAAAATCTGAATGGTGCAAGACGCACGTAATGCTAAATGAATAGATACATGTCCTTCAAATCAAAATGATTGCAGGCTTTTTAATGCTGGAATGGGAACATTGTGATACTTGACGGTGAAACTAGATTTGCACTAGGAGCTGCTGTGGCTGCAYTGAAAAATGGCATCAGGAAGTGATTTGACAAACTTTTCTCATGGAAGGAAGGTAGGCTGTTCCTTTTTCTCCATCAYRGCRTAGTGTGCCTGGTGTGGTGGGTGGTCCCTCTCACAGGGCTGCATGAGACTGGCAGAGCAGAGAACTGGCCAAGTTAGAAATGCACTGATGGTCTTGGGTCTTCCACAAGCAGCATGCTGTTACCTGGCTTTGTGAGCATCACCCATGAGTGCATCACATTATTTTGACAGCATTGTAGGGCTGTACTTCTAAGGAAAATCTCTCTCCCTTTTGAAAATCAATTGACTGTAAGTTCCGGTTGTGTTTAAGGAACTTCTGAGTTCCTTTTCAGCTCACTTTCTATGCATGAAAGATGAAAATTCGAAGAAATTGTATGACGAAGGAGAACARTGAGGTATTTCAGTCACCAGGGAAGATGACGAAGAGGAAAAGAGAGCACAGTGCCTGCTTGTATGGGAGGTGCTGAATGGTGTAAGTATTTATCTTTATTTATCTATTTATTTATTGATCTTTTGTCATTTTTAACATGGTACATTAAATGTAGATTATGTTTTACAAAGGGGTGT